CCTCCCATATCTTCATATCTGCATCCCCGAGACACTCACATCTGGGAGCTGCCACCAGGAGGAGGAAGAACCACAGGTGCTTCATGTTCTTGCACAGGATGTCCGTGACTCTCAGAGAGCATTTCCCTTGTGAGCAGGACCCTGAATTTAAGGAAATGTGTGGTGGTTTCCTGTGGGTGCCTAAGTGAGGATTTGCATGTGGGTGGTGCCTTTGTATGGAGAGGTGAAAAGGGATGAGGGAGGCCCCAGTCTCTCAGGTTCACCCTGGGAGGAGGATGCTGGCTCTACCCTCTGAGAACTCAGTTCTCTACATGTGACCTCCCCTCACCAAGCCCAGAGTCCTCTTCATCCAGGTAGGAAATGTGTTGAAGGAGCTATTCTGGGAAATGAGTGTGATCATGGATCAAGGATAGATTTTGGAACAGGGTCAATACTGTTCTACCCTTAAAGATTCATGTAAAACCAACCACACACTCAGGTCATCTAAATTGTCATTTACCCCTTTGGACACATTGAATCAGCAACTGAGTGTAATAATCACAGTGAGTTCAGACAAACCTGGGTGCGTCCAATGTTTATTGTAGTTCTGAACATCCATCATAGTTAGCGGGAAGCTCCCTGTCCCAGGAAGTGGGTCATTTTTTAAAAGCACCTGAGAACTGCCCTTCTTTTGAAATTTGAGATTCTGTCTGAGATCTCAGGAGAAAGTAGTGGGACATATCTCCGTCCTTCTCAATGTGTAACCCTGGCGATGTGGCCTGACCTCTAGACATTTCTATGTGAAAATACATGGATTGAGGATTGCAGTGACAACTTCACACAAAAACTCTGTAACAGGTCAGCACTGTACAATAGTCTCATTACCAAGATTAGTGCAATTACCTTTCCTGGGAACCAGAGGAGACCTCTGTGAGCCCTCCCCTCTGAGAGTACAAGGAACCCTGGTCCTTCCCTGACAGGTCACACCTGTGAAACATGGATGGGCAATGACACTCAAGCCCAGAGTCCTCACCCACACGTTTGTCATGTCAGGCCCATCTGCCTCTGAAAGACTTTCTCCTCCATTGATTTGCATGAACATACCCTAGGGTGTGCGGTATTGCAACTTGGGCATTTGACATTAGTTTGGTGAATTCTATAGTAAACATTCTATCTCCATGGATGTGGGTAACAGAAGAGTCATCAGAAGTTGGGAGTGTTGTAAAATCAGGATAAACCTGGGCTCTCTTCTTAGGACCTAAACAAGTGGGCTGACCTGTGTGACAGCAGAGGGAAAGAGACAGACCCAACAACCAGAGCCTGGTGAGCTCCTTACCTACCAGTTGCTATCTGGGCCTTTTGTTTGAACAGATTCAGAAAGACCTTCCACACCCTCAAAAGAATTATGAACATTAAGGGAAATTAATATACATTTTTATTTACAGATAATAATTCATAGGCTTGTAGACATCTAACTGGGTGTGTACAAGGTTGCTAGGATATGGTCATAGACAGAACAGAAAGAATTATATTTAGTGGGAAGAAAACCAAGGAGTTTCTGAATTTGTAGCTATTGTTAACCACAAATGTGTCAGTTCACTAGATCCTGTTGTAATGCTAGGGGTAAAACTTCCTAACATTCTCATAGAGATAACATCCAAAGGAGTGAAGAGTCAAGTGAGATTCCTTTGAAAATCTCCAGTAACGAACAGGTCAGGAGAAATTGATGATTATCAAAAGAGTGATAATTAAATAAAGTGGTGCATTCCATGTTGAGGTGACAGGGAAGTTCCATCTGACAGCTTGTTTCCCCTCTCTGAAGAGGGCAGAGCACAGACTAACAGCAGAGAGGGAACTTAGGGCAGGTAGGGGCCAGATGTTTGAGGAGGATGGAGGGTGAGCTGGAGTCCTTGTGAGCCATTCAGAAAAGCAGCAGTGTGCCAGGGTGTATTGAGTCCTCCTGAGTTAAGAGGTGCTGAATATATACCAGTTTCACTGCCCTCATCGTGTTTTATTCTTCAGACTCTTTGGATGTCCACATTTGAATACTTGGAGTGTTGATGGAACTCAGCACGACTGAGAACTTTTCAGTGAAGATATAAGTAACAATATGGATGTAATTAAATTTGAGTTATTTAAATATTATTATTTAAAATGTCAACGTGAGTATCTATTAATTTATCTTTCTTTTTCATTTTAGAGACAAAGATTTGTTCTATTGCCCAGACTGGAGTGCTGTGTCGTCTATTAATTTTATGGTATAAAAATGATTGGCCCAATTCGTGTAGTCATTTTATCTCCATCAAGGATTTAGGTCCATTTGGCCTGTGACATAGCTCTAGTCATAGAGGAAGAGAGGTGGTTTGTTGAGGCAATGCTGGTTCTTCAGAGAGAAATTTAAACAATCATCTCCTCACCTCACCCACTCCATTTTTACAACTGTGCATGACTCTTGGGAATGCATCCACTATTTCTTACATAATGGGAGTTGACTGTAAAAGTAGCATGAAGATGTGTAAATATAACACCTAGGTAGATAAACTGATGAATTAACAAAGCCTGGAGCCAATTATATTCTGGCATCTTGTTATTTAGTTGTGAATTTATTTTCAGTTGGTTAGTTCAAGTTCCCAAAATTCAATTTCTGCCAAAATAGTCACATACAATAATCTTGAGATATTAAAATGAAAAAACAAACTAATTTGAAAATGAACCCAGCTTCCAGAAGTGAGAATTACTTTGTGGTGAATGGTGGGAAGGGTGGAGATATAACTGAATATCATGATTGTGTTGACAATTGTTTTAATTAGGGGAACTTCTATACATCCCTTATATTTATTAGAAATTCCCTTTGAGAACCTTGATCTAACGTAATTCGTTGATGGATCACACAAAAACAATGAAGCTGAAGGTTATGAAGCAGGAATTGCTATTGCAACTTTAGCTTTCCTTTAGAACACATTCCTCTACCTGATGTGGAATTAGCCCAGGTGCTCTGATGAGAGCTTGTCAGTTAAAGACCAGGAAATGGGCACTTATGTGTCTGGAGCAGGGCATGGCTTTGGGAGGCTTTGTTAACAAAGTGGCTTTTCGCATCTTCTGGAAATCCTATCAAAATGGGCAAGTTAAGGATCTCTTAGGAGCATCCGTCTATCCCACATTCTTGGCTAATATAAAAGTGGAAGTCAATGCAAAATGAGATCATACGGAAGTTTAGAAAACTGCTGCACCACTGCCTCAGCTCAGCACAGCTTTCTCCTTCCTCAGGGTTTCTCACACTCTCAGGATGTGAGTTTCCACACTGTGTATCTCGCACAGTAATACATGGCTGTGTCCTCAGCCTTTAGGCTGCTGATCTGCAGGTACACTGTGCTGACAGAGGTGTCCATGGAGAAGACAAACCGTTCTGTGAAGCCCTGGGCATACGTTGGGTTCCCAGTGTAGGTGTTCATCCATCCCATCCACTCAAGGCCCTGTCCAGGGGCCTGTCGCACCCAATTCATACCATAGGTGGTGAAGCTGTAACCAGAAGCCTTGCAGGAGACCTTCACTGAGGCCCCAGGCTGCTTCACCTCAGGCCCAGACTGCACCAGCTGCACCTGGGAGTGGGCACCTGTGGAGAGGAGACAGGATTGTGTGAAGTCTCACTTGACTGGCCTGGTTTCTGCCTCCGCCCTGGGACCTGGGAGCCCCTTACATGTTGCTGCTGCCACCAAGAAAAGGATGCTCCAGGTGAGGTCCATGGTGAGGAGCTGTGCACTAGGGGATTCTCCCGAGGAGGGGTGTGGCTGTTGGGTGATGCTCCCAGGGCACAGAGATACTATATTCGCCTCAGTTATTTGCATATTCATGAAGGATGCTATTTAATAGCCCAATTCCTGACCCAGTATGAGAAACAGCAAATACATGACACATGGACGACACAGCTGTAGAAGCTGAGGGTTCAAGCCATAATCCTGTTAGAGGCCATGCGTCCCCTACACATCCCTGAACTCCGGGTTGACAGAGCTTCCCCCACGGGAGAACAAGCTCCCCCAGGACACTCACCTCACTTTGAATGTCTCAGGGGCAACGAGACGTTCAAACGTGAACCATTTCTAGACCTTAATATGCGAATGAGTTATTTGGGAATGAGTGTGTCTCTCCAAAAATTGCGCTTATTTATAAGAAAGGATCTCTTCCTGACCTCCAGCTGCTTACTATTAAGATAACTAGCAGAGTTTGACATCCCCATTGTGAAAGTGGTTCTCATTACAACATCCGGTTTGATAAATGGTCACAATTGAATAGGATATTTATACAAATATCAGCAGTCCTTGCGAAATACTTCTTTTAGATGTTTTTAAAGGACGTCCCAAGCCCTGAGAGGAACCTCTCCCCAGCCTCCTGTGCACCTGCTCTGGGGCGGGAGACTGTGCAGGCTGTGTCTTGAGCGCCCCCTGCAGCCCAGCCCGCACCCTGCAGGGAGGTTTCCATCTGAGCTGACAGAGTATATCCCTACCAGTGTCTCTAGCCCAATATAAAGTGGCTGTGACCTGGCTCAGAATTCCGCTTTATTTACACCATACGCTTCTCACACCATCTTTTGAAATAGTGAGTTGGCCTTAGGAAACCCAGCGAACTCTGTAGGGAGACCCCAAGAAAAGATCTCATGCATCACCAGGGAGCACTTTCCTGGAGCTCAAGAGGCACAGAATCGATGGAGACATGGTGAACCCAAAAACTCTTCAGGGGTTGAGGGGAGACTATTTCCTTTGGGGTCCTGCAGTTGATTATTATACCTGAGATACCTGCAGGTGCAGGTGTATGTGGATAGAAGCCCACTCCAACTCTACTATTAAACTCTCTCTCTCTATCTCTCTCTCTCTGTCTCTCTCTCTCTCTCTCTCTCTCTCACACACACACACACACACACACAAAATGTGGCTTATTTTTACATTAGTGGGTCCTATGGTTGCCCTTTTTTCTGGTATCCATCTCATGAAAAGCACTCCCTACACTGGAACCAAGACTGAACATGTGCCACTTTTCTGCAAACAGCAGTAAAGGACACAGAATACGAGTGGACACTTGGGAAGTGCACGCACATTGAATTCACCTGGTATCAGTTTGGAACCCCGCAGATGCCCCATGAAAAGTACATTTGAGACCAATGAGGGTGAAATCATTTCCTTGGTGCTGAAGTTGCTGGTGTCAGAGGCTTCAAATTGCTCTATTTTCCTTAACATTTTTTCTCCTATTTTCCTCCTCAGATAGAGTTTGTGCATTGCCACACTCTCATATTTAATCCATATTGACTAAATTGGTGAGGCGTAATACATAGAACACGGAAGTATTACATGTTCTTCAAGTTGAATTTTAATCCTGTAGATGTCTTCCTTCTCCGTGCTGTGATCTATAAAGGAAGTCTCCAGAAGTGAAGCTGATTTTTGCTCTTTTTCACAGGAAAATTTTCTTAAATGTACTCCTCTTGGCTGTGTTTACCCATTTTCATGATAAGGAAGGCTGCTGATATGGGCTTTTAATGGGGATGGATTGCCTTTCCTCACACAGATACAGTTCTAAAAATGCTCTTCCTCTGGTTTGTCCATCTGAAGAACGTTTGGGTGTATTTATCAGAAATTTGGTCTCCTGATAATAGAGACATGAAGGGATCTAGGTGGATTCTCACCCTGAGAACCTGGAGGTTCCTAGAGGAAAGGGCAATAACAGTATGGGGGGAGGAGCTCCCGGGATCTCTCACCCTCACGCTAGTCCAGACATGCCCTTTATGTTTATTTAGTTCAGATTTTCATATAACAAATCACACAGCCAGGCTCATTTAAATTATCCATACTTAGTCCATATCGGAGCAGCAGCTGAGTATGATAATCGCATTGAACTCAGACAAATCTAGACCCAATCCAATTTTTACTGTATCTCAGAGCAACTTTACTGACTCACTTAACTTGGAGATTATTTCTTCCCTGAAAGAACTGTAAGGGTTGCTGTGGAGCCTCTGTGGGGTCGGGTTTTTTTTTTTTTCCATCAGCCTGTCATGTAGTGTATTCTGAATGATGTAGACCTTTACACTTAGATGGTAATTATTCCTAGTGATGTGGAAATGACTGGCAGCCCTCAATTCCATTTCCTTCTTTTGTTCACCTGAGTGTCTACAAAAATCCCATGAACCTCAGAAATCTCTCCTTCATGGATGACTCTGAAGGTTGTCAATCAATTCAGTGCTGCAGACACAGGGAGCTAATGGAGGATTCTCAGTTCACTGATATTTTGGACCAGTAAAATAGGACACATCCGAGAATGAACCATTTTTGTCAATGTCGATCAATATTAAATTCAAGAATCACGATTTTCAGTAAATTAGAGTGTAACATTTTCATGATTCTTGACAATGAGGTCTCAAACTTGATGGTTTGCAGGAGAAACAAGCTCATCATGGTTAGACAGGAGCTTCTCTACCTGGGGAGATAGTCTTTTAAACAAAAGCACCTGAGAGGTGGTTTCCTTAGATCTTGTGAAAGTTTATCTATTGGAGAAAAACATCAGGAAAAGTGGTCTCAAATAATTGAAAGAAACCTTATAAGAAATTTTTAACAACACAGCCATGAAACTCTACTTAGTAGACTTTTTGGTTCATGTCTTACAACTCAAGAAGCAATTAAGAAATCTACAAAATTGGAAGCCTACTCCGACAGAGATAATTTTTTGCTTCTTGAAAAATAAACCAGTATTCATACAGAGACACTTCCCATGAGATCTACAACTTACACAGGTTTCTGTAACCTGAAGAAGTTTTCCTAAGAGAATTATCCTCTAGACATCTATTTATGCAAAAATACATTGTGTATATATGTGTACGAGTAATCTGTACAAGCTCTCGGCAGATTAAACTTATATAAATGTGACAATTTTATTACTTACTGTGCTCTCACAATTTACTGGTTTCAAAAGTTCATCACCCTTGTGATGGAGCAATAACTGCCTTTGGGAATGTGCTGTTGCTTCAAGTGAACACATTCTAGATCCTCACTTGACTTCATGGTTTCATATTTAGCATCGGTGTGTCTTTGACTGAAAACCCAACATTTTCATCCAACAGATTCTCCTCTTATGAGATCATTCTGAATCATGCCAACAACCTCCACCATGCACACTTTCAACCTTTATCTTTTAAGGGAATAAGGGCACAAATTCATCATTGCTTTAAGGTGAGAAACCTTCTTGGACTTCCATCATATTCATTAGAAACTCTCATGGAGAACCATAATGAAACATTATTTGTTTATGAATCATACCTCGAAACTGAAACTGTTTCTCATAATGGCTATACCCTTCTATAATTCCACAATTATAGAAAGCAGTATAAAGGCTCCTAAATTAATTAAAACTAGAAATATATGACCAGAAATTCTGCTTCTAGAAATATACCCAAAGGAGTTAAAATTACCACCTTGTAAAGATATCTGCATCCTATATTTATTGAAACACTATTAATAACAGCCAAGATACAGAAACAATCTGAGTGTCAGTAGACAGACAAATGGAAAAAGGCAATGCGATATGTATACACAATAGAAAACTATTTAATCTTATAAAAGAAGATGCTGCCATTTGCCACAAGATGGATCAAATCCATAACCACTAACAGTGCATACCATTCATTATAGTTCCTCCCTGGGGAATGGCAGATCCTTATTCAGTAGTAAACACTGCTGTGATGGGAAGTAAACTTATGTACTGTTGAAGTTTTCAGCATAACACATCAACATCTTAAAATATTCTGCTATGTCTGCATGTGATAAAGTGGAGTCTAATATTAGAGGTAAAATTAAAAGTGCATGAGTCTTCTAGACACCAAGTCATGGCATGATCATGACTCTGTCCTTGAGGGTGTGGACCATAGATCATACATACTAGTTGGAGTACTTTTGGGAAAAGAAGTTCCAGGGGTATAATTTCTTGTACCGGCCAGAGAATGCACAGGTGAGGCAGAGGGTCAGTGAGGGCACTTCCAGTCTAGGGCTGACTCCGGTAGCTGCTCCTAGGACAGGGCACTTAAGAGATATAGAGACTCACTCCCTGTCAGACTCAGTCCCTGTCAGTCACATGCAGCCACAACCATTTCTATAGGTCGTGTCTGACATCGGAAACACTCAACTTGGGAGCAGGAGAAGTTGGGAATTCCATTCCCAATGTTGATTCTATCTGAAAGCCTGAAGAAAAATCTTGATGGGCGCAGGTTTGTCTTTGCCAGAGAGAGAGACTGAGGTCAGGCTCCCTTGTATTTGAAAGTTTTATTGTTGTCTTTTTTTCTGACTGAATTGAAGCACTACCTTGCCAAAATCTACAGCCATTATGGTTGATGAAATCTTCTTGATTTTGATATTTCAACTTGTGACATATAAACTTCTATATCAACTGACTCATGCAAATCTCAGGAGAATAATTACATAATAACTCTCTAATTCATGAGTGTTACTCCAATACTATGCTGTCTTCACTGCCAACAATCTTCTTGAAAGGTTGAAGAAGAAATAAATAGTAAATTTAATTTTTAAATTAAAATTGTCAAAACTTTCAGAAACCCATGAACTCCCTCTGCCAAAGGTATGGCCACTAGTGCTATGACCTCTGGTCCACCCCTTCAGGGACACAGGCATAATTACCCTATGACTTAATATCTGAATAGTATTACATTATTTGTTGAATTTAGATGGTAGTTTTCAAACTAGCCAAGATAAAAGCTTTTATTGGAAAAGTTTTGAAAAAAACTTTTTTGGCATGAATATTCAAT